CCCATTTAATTACCTCCTGTGCTTGAGCGCATCAACATGTGAGTCCTTAATTTAAATTTCTAGAGTGTGTTTTATGATTGTTATGTTGAGGTAAGGCGAGTTTTAGGTTGATCCATCTGAAATGGATCAAAGTTCCACTGTCTAATAAAAAGTAACTTAACGGATTGTTCCGACCCGGTTTTTAACGGCGTTCATGTATTTTGGGTATCTAGAGACCTAAGTATGGGGACGTTCTTATTTCTAGAGTGGGGGGATATTTTGGTAGTAGCCTTTAAGCTGTAACGGGTCGTAGTCTCATGTCACAAGCGAACCGAATTGGCTCCGACTGATTTGAGGTAGAAAAACACAAGAGATAGTGTCCCTGACTCTTGAGCCATTGGTTATAGGGCCTATTTTTCTTAAGCCTCATGTGTGACTACAGTAGACGAATGTTACACCTATAAGGATAAGCTCGTGAAACTCGATATCCTTCCAATCTCCTTATATCAAGAACTTCATGTTATTCTCTTGTGTGACAAAATACTAACCGGAAAAGTTGACATAGACTGGCGTAGTCAAGTAACCATCACAGACATCGGTACTCGAAGAACACAAGCAACACGAAATTTTGCCTGCCAACAAATACGTCTGAAGAAGTGTGAATCCGATTACTGGTTTCGAGCTTGCCGTCTTGCCAACCTTTTTAACGATTACTTCAAATTTGACATAATCTTTGATCCAGGATGCAAAATTAAACTGCTGGAAGTTTATACGAAGTTCTTCAAAACCCGCTACAACGAATCAGATTCATGCACTTGGCGGATATTATGTGGCTGCAACAACTGTAGAGATTTGAAGAAACTAAACTTTAACAACTGAAACACGAACGTTGAACCTCCCAATCACTGGGTTTTATGCGAACCCTTGGATTAGTCCTAAATCCTTTGTTATTATTTTATTATTATATGGGGGAGTTCAGAAATACGGGGTTTTGTTCTCATTAAAAAAATGTATTTGCTCTGAAGTCCGTGTGTTAGACAAGGCTGCTCCTGTACTGTCTTTGCAACATCGCTAAGAACTGACAATTCTGACATCCAATCATTGAAGTTTCTTAACATGTGCTGCAACCCTAGAAACTAGGACTCTGTGCCCATTCGTTATTGATTCAACACTTGTTCAGCGTGTTTTTCGAAGCTGGTTTCACGAGTAGCTTAGACTTCTCCGAGTAGCTTAGACTTCTACCGGGGTCTCTGTTGCGTTTATGATTGAAATCGGCACTACCAGCAGATCGCCTTGGGTCGTCTTCCGACGTAATTGTATCATTGTCTGTGTATAAACTTGATTGTTCTCGATAAAAGTTTGCATATTAAACGCCAGGACAAATTGAGTCAATATTCCTCAATGCCACTTGGCGTTTTAATTCGTTGAAGACATTTTCAGCATCGCCCAGAAAAAGCGCCTCGCAATCAGTTTCTGCAAACATATTTCGGATTGCATGAATAATTGCTTATGTGCTGCTGCCTCTTGGATATAGGGCTTCAGGACCATTAAAGCTACCTTCCCATTCAATCTCCGCAATGTTTCTCACATTCCAATAGATCGGATGCCAGGATTCTTATCGAGAAGAATCAACCTGCTGTCTCGCAGATTGCTGATGTGTTGTGGCGGAACGTTTTTTGTACACAGCTTTCTTGCTATTGCTGTTACTGAATGGCATAATGAGTTTGGCGCTTGTTGCTCGGACTTTCGTTACGAAAGTAACGGAATATTTGTGCTCGGGTTGGTTTTTTTCTTCAGACAAATGTCGACTTTTTAACTAGCCATTTTTGACAGAATTTTTTTATCAATCGAAAGCTACTGTTGTCCTGAGCTTAAATTTGAAGAGATATTTCACCTGTGATTATTTTTCGTAAAGTTATGGGGGTTTAAAGAGTGCCACTTTGAGACAATTAACGCGCGATATATTTCGAGCTATTAACGCGTAAGCGGAGATTTAAACCGTCACAGGAATTTATTTGTTACTAGGAGCGAAATTTATCACTTTGTACTGAATTTGGCGTGTGGGGGAATGCTTTCACAAAAAAATCTCAAATTTTAAAAAAAAATTTTAATTTTATTTTAATACATTAAAATTTTTCATGTTTTTGCTGCTCCATAGACCTTTAAAGGCAATCGCAACGTTCAGGGCTTTGCCCTGATACGAGCAGTCTTGTAAATATTCAGTTAGAAACATCTTCCATTGAATTCCATCCGTCGCTGAGGGTCCTGCTGCACCCTTCAGGTGCATTGCACACTTTCGAATAACACATTCAGTTATCCTGTCGATAAGTTCTGGGTGAAACTAGCTTCTTGTATCAGATGGTTCGTCGAGAGCACTAGGCATAGCTTTCCTTTTGGGATGCATATCAAGGTAGTATTTAACAGATTTCTTCATGCCTTCATTCGTAACTTGTTCGCGCAGCTACAATACCCCTTAAGCAGACGAGTCAGATAGAAGTGCTATCGCAGCACAAGTTTTGCCCCGTTTCATGGTATTCGCAAAGTGTTATGTAATTGTCAGATTATTTTGTCTGTTGTGCGTTTTGATAAACGTTTTTTGTATAACCTCTACAAGCTCTTTAATTTCTCCATCGTCCCAAATCTCGAGTCTTCTGAGGTTGGGCATATTTGTCTTTTGATTAGCCTTATCTGACGTTTGCAGCAACAACGTTGACATGATCATTGCAGCATTCAGGGAATATTCGCATCACAAATTGTTTTCAGCAAAAGATTCCAGGAGTCTGCTTAAACCGTTCAAGAACTCTGAGCTAGCCGTGCATCTTGGAAAATAGAAAAGATTCGGTTGCAAATTTGCGCATGTTTGATATGCAATACCGAATACTTCTACAGCTTCATCGTTACTTAGTTTTCCAAAACTAGAATACTGTCGTTTATTCGCATGTTGGCAAAGAAGGGCAACTCCGCTGTGATTCATTAGAAGGCCCGGATGAGCTATCTCCTCGACTTTCTTGCATGCGCGCTCGAGGGACCACGAAATAATCCTGACAGCGAGGGCTGATGAAAGTACCTTCAGGTCGATCATTGGCTCGGCGCAGTCCACATCAGGATACATTCAAATAGCCGCAGCTGTTGCATCAGATACTTGTGTGGTTGGGATAATCTTTTTCTGCATCCAATTCTGCTGCAGTGCGTCTGACACTCTCCCACTTCATCTTCGTCTGCTGCAGTTGCATACTGCCTTTTCTTCCGATCAGCCATCGGCGGTTATCGAGTTCACTGCTGGCACCGATGAATTATCTGTTTTGCTGAACGCAGGGGAATATTTATTTGGAATCACTAATCGGTAACTCAAAATCGGATACCTTAAATAATAATCGGAATGGGTCGAGTGATATATCATATTAAAGCCCTTTCAACCGTGATTCGAACGACATTTAAAAACTCCAAAAAACTTGAGAAAAACCGTTTCGAATTTTCAGTTTCGTTTTCGTGTAGTTTCAAACGAATGAAGCGAGTGAGCAGACTGATAATAGTTAGTTTTAATTTCTAAAAAACTAATTTTTACTTATTTTTACTCTGGTGAAATCAGTTACGGAGAATTCTTTTGGCGCACTCTTGGGAATAAAATTTAAGAACAAATCAAAAAAAATATTTTGAAAAAATTTTGATTTTTTTTGGTTTTTTAAATTTTTTTATTTGTGAAAAACTTATCAAATTTCCTTGATTTTTAAATATCGAAATTTTAGGCTTTCTTTTTAGAATCTCTTGTCACACCAAAAACAAAAGACGATGCAATTTGAAAAAAAAATGTAGCTTTTTTTCTTATATGGTCGGAAAATTCTGTACGGCAACAAGCTCTCCTTGTTTTTCGTCTTCTGATGTTTTGTTGGCTTAGTTGCCACATGGTAGAATTGTCTTTTTTGCTGCATACAATTTACATTGTAGTTGCTTTTAGTGTTTTGATTTACTTCTGCTATTTGTAATTGTAATAACCTTGGCTTCGCATATTTTATTTTTTGTTCTTTTTTTTAAACTTAGAATCTTTATTCTTTCTAAATGGTTTTGGCTTATTTGTTATTTGCTCAGTAATCTAATATTAGGTCGTTTCAATGATAACATAACTTTTATGCCCACCTCTATCGCACAAATAGCTAAAATCGTAATAAAAATTATAGTTCATGATTTTAATGACTAAAATTTTTTTATGGATTGATACATTTCGGCCCATCTTATGTCGGCTTAATGGCCTCATATTGCATCTCAAAATGTCAGAGTGTGTGTATGTTTTTAGGGCGAGGGCACTTAATATTTTCTGTTTCAATTTTTTTTGGCTTTTTTCGGTTTTATAGGTTTCGGCCTATATTATATTGGCTTAGTGGCCTTATTTGGTTTCATTTGACGAGCAAATAAAGCATTTTGTATGTGACTGTTTTGAGGATGAGGGAGTTTTTTTTAATTTTTTATCAGTCTCAAGTATTTTTTTTCGGCTTAAGGGTTTCTACTACGGTATTTTTGGCTTTGCTACTGCTTGGTAAAGTCTTTTTCCGATGCTAATTTCACAATCTATTGTTTTTTTCGTCTTTCTTGTTTTGTATCGCAGTTTCAGCACCAATGATTTTTGACCTTTTTCATTAAAATTTGTTTTCATTAATAACCTTCGACTGGTATAACATTACGTTGATGTGCTTACATGTGAATAGGGATGGTTGGAAGGACATCAAAAAAGCCGAGAAGTGTGAGCGGAAATTCGGTACTCAACTACCGGTTATTCTTGTCTTAGATGTGGCGGCTACATATATGCTGTTCTATATTCACGCACAATTATTTTTTTTTCTATAAATATGGAAAAATCAAGTTTTTTTTAGATACATTTCGTCACCGAACTTTGCATGATATATGCCAAATCGGCTGGTGAAATAGTTTGTATATTTTATCTACTCTCTCTATTCAGTAGTAGTTTATCTTATTGGCCAGCAATCCACATTTGGTGCTTTATCTTAACTGAGTAAACAGTTTAATTCTAGAACAGTGTATGCAAGTTTCACTTAGCGAGCTCAAAATACAAAACGCAACTGAATAGAAATATACCATTTGCAAGCGAATATTCGAATTATTGAAACTTGACAAATGGCTGACGTGGACGTGAAGGAGGTGGGCTTGATAGATACTCCCGATGCTATCAAGGAAAAGAGAACCCAGGTAATGTTTCTATCAGTAGACTTTTTAGACCGAAGAAAACGCTTCTATGCATCAGATACGTTTTAGTTTACCATCCTCGTCGGCTGAATATAGCTTGAAAGAAATTAAACACTTAGGTCATAATGAATCAGGAAATTGATTATTTGATTCTAGTTTTTAAAAAATTATGTCATCAGTTAATTGGAAATGTGTCGTCGGTGGAGCGATAAATTTTGCTCTTGAAACTTCATTTTTGCCTCTTTTTTAATCAGATTAATGTTTGTTATAATAGCTTTTGGGAAAGTTTGACGATTTCAAAGATGCTGCGAAGGCGCGTAGACAGCTTCTGGAAGATGCAAAGGAGTTCCATATCTTCAAACGAGATGCTGACGAGTTAAAAGCGTGGTTGCAGGAGAAGATAGATTCTCTGAAAGAAGAAGTTCTCGATGCTTCAAATGTTGAGGTACACTAAAATCTTGCTGGTCGACCCGAAGCTGTAGAGCGGGGGGTCGATATAGGTTATTTTCTTGGAGATAATATAATTTAAACCATTTGAATTAAATGATATTTTGGCAATACTAGGAAAACCACAGTTTGGGGGGCTATGGTACAGTGGGGAGTGGAAAAATAATGTGTGTCTTTTTTCTTCAGTATTTGAACCGAAAAAGTTAGTTGTTAGTGTTATAGACGGGTTGATTTTTTTCTGCTTTCGGAAGTGCTTCTTAATGTTTTCAGCGAGTTTAAGACCAAATTTCATAAGAGTTTTCATAAAGATCATAGAAAATTGTTGGTGAAAAAGTGGCAACCCATAAAAGAATAAACCGAAATGAATCTCACTAAAAAACTCTTAAGCCTAAAATTTAACCCTAAATCCTTTGTAAACGATTTTGAACTGAAATGGTTGAGATTGAAAATTTCCAGGGAAAGTCAGAGAAAGTGGAAGCCTTGGAAGCGGAGAAGGCAGCAGCATTGAAAACTCTTGATGAGCTGTATGCGAAGGGTAATGACATGGTCAACAGAGACCACTACGCAAAAGAACAAATCCAGGTATTTCACATTATCTTTCTTGTTTAACTTTGGCTAAATCGAAGTTAATGAGTGAAAATTACTTGGATCGTGTTTTGTTTTCCTTGTTTGATTTTTTATTTCTGAAGTTCAATTTAAATTTTCATCAATGGATGTGAAAATGGAGCAAAAAAAATTTGTGAACGTCTTCCAGTTAAAAATTAGGCTTTAGTTATTAAATTTCCCGGCGGATTGAAAAAGTTACCTTTGGACCCAGTTTTATCAAATTGAGTTTTCAAAAAACTAACATTTATACAATATTTTTGATTCTCGAAGAAGAATTTGAGGGTGGTATATTTGTTTAAAGACTCAAAGTTGATGCTTTTTCAAAAAAAAATTCTATCTGTTGTCTGTTTAGAAAATTCTGGATGAACTGCAACACTTGTATGACCAACTGAACCTGAAGTTGGTTGACAGAAAGGATAAAATTGTCAATGCAAAATCTCTCACAGGTTCGGATTTTAATTTTCGGAAGAAACAGAAATAAGCTTTAAAAAAATTCAATACCGAATTAATCCGTTGTGAGGCTGGTTCATACTTTGGATATGTTATAGAATACTTCCGACTGTGCGATGAAGCCCAAATGTGGATAGTAGACAAGAAACAACTAATCCGAAACTTGATCGACGATGTCTCCGCCAATATCGACCACGTGCAGTTGTGTGAGAGGAAGTATGAGGACTTCACCTCCAAGGACAAAATGGCATTCGAGCCCAAGATGGCGGAAGTGACTGAGAAAGCAGATGAACTCACCAAGCACCCAGAGTACGAAAGGGTTAGAAAAAGTTAACACAGTTAATTGTTTAGAAGTAGACCAGAATTATTAGAAGTTGCAGCTCTTTTAGGCAATTGTTATCATTGTACCCGAATTTTTATTTTAAAAAAACCCGATGAGGTTACTGATTTTCAATTTTGCCCAATTTATGCAGCGGCTTAGTGAAAGTAGATAGTCGAAAATGAATCTGGATCATGTAGGTGGTCGACTTTTTTTTAGTTAACCAGTGGGTGGCCTAGCCCGAAGATTAATTATTTAAGGTTAAATAAGATATTGCTATCTTACAAAAGCTCAACTTCTAAATTGCAGCGCACGTGCGATTTGAACCCGCGATCATGCGATTGCTGGGCACCATCATTACCGATGTGCCACAACGCCAAATCGATTTACTGGAATCATTCATCTTTTAGGTGAAAGAGCGACACGAGGAAGTATACTCACACTGGGAAGAACTGAAAGTGATCTGCGACGAGGCAGAAGAGAGGATCTTTGGAGCCAAAGAGATCCAGAAGTTCTTTAAAGACGCTTCAGACATGACTGAGTTCCTGAACGAAAAAAGAGCTCAAGTCTCCATCGATGACTATGGACGAGATCTGCCGAGTGTCCAGGCACTGCAGCGACGTCACGAGAACTTAGAGCGCGATTTGACGGCTCTGAACGAGAACGTAAGGATATCTTGACCATTTTATTACTGTTTCAACGGTAAACGGATATTGATGTTTACATTACTTACAGTACTAGACTTCATCTGTGTTAGTAATTGTTTGGTGGTTTATAGTAGCAAAACTCATGAGTCGTTTTCTCGAAAATTGTTGGCTGATTGGATCATTTCATTTAGCAAAGAAAGTAAAAACTGATCCCTTCCGTGAATAAGAGTTACTAGTTAAGATACAATTTGAGTATCGTGATATCCTTTGCTTTTCTGGTTTGAAGCAAATTTTCACGAAATTAAATATTGCATTGCCCTGCATTGATTAGCGATCTAAAAATGAACTAGTTCGGTTCATTTTATCTGATTCTTATCACTACCGATCCTGACTGCTTTTTAACTATCAAATCATAACCAAATTTTGTTCGCTACCCCTCAAAAATAATGATATCATTTAGAAATATGCGCTAGCTACAGAATGTTTTAAATATTCTGGCCTTGCAAAAATTCAGAGCTGCTTTTTCAATATGTGACTAAATCAAGGGAAATTCTATTCCTTCTGTTGCACAATTTCATGCCGTATTTCCCGGCCGGTTTATCACCACAGCATTAGTCATAAAAGCCGTATATGCAAGGTCCAATAGAAATATTCGGTTATTTAACGGTGTGCAAACATAACAAAGATAGCTCAGCTGTAAGATAGACGAATAATACTGGTTACCATTGCTCCGTTCCCGACATGAAACGTTGAATATACAGTAACGCTAGTCTGAACAATTTTCAATACGCGAAGTCTGTATTAAAAAAATATACGTATTTCGCTCCAATTGAATGCATATATTTTGTAGGTATGTCTGTGCAATGTATGCACGAATTTTATAATGAAATTGTCTATAAATTTCATGCTGAATGTGAACACCTATCATACGTATAGATATAGTTAGGCTTCGCTTACATATAGAGATATAGTCGAAATTGTTTGCACTACTGCCTTACGTAGGTGGCAAAGTTAGGTGGTGTTTCGTTGCTTGGTAAGACGCAGCAAATTCTTTCTACCCTAGTATCTATGAAATTACATGCAGAATAGCTAGCACCATATAACTATTGGAACCCAAATTTTCCATGCCCTCGCTTGATATGTTAAGTTACTATTTTGGTAAGCCGATACAGCCAACTTATGCATAACACAAGGTTGGGCTGGCCAATAATGATTCGCCAACAAATATACCGCCAGTTATACATGTTCCTTACCAATTGAAGAGAACTGAAAGCGAACGGTGAATAAATAGGATACATTTCAAAATAGAGATTTCATGCGCCTAACAAACGAACGTTGCACCATTGATTGGTTTTGATCAATTAGCTATCTTTAAGAACTTCCATGTTGAAAATGCTTATTCAAACGAGCTAAATGAAAATTAATTTTTAAACGGGACAACTCGGGGCTAATCGAAACGTTTTGTTCGTGGGAGGGTTATGTAATTTTTAAAATAAAGGTTTTTAGTAAGCGAAGCAATAGTATTCAATTCATTATGTTAAACAGATTTCTAACTTGAAGTTTTAGGAATCGACGTTGAGTGATTTAATGAAACTGCATTTTTAACGAATGTTATTCTTGTTTAGATGTTGTTTTGTAATGTGTTGTTTTAATTACAGAGCTACACGTACAAGGTAAAGCAATGTGGTGTGATTGATCTGAAATTTCGAGAAAAAAATCATTAATCACTTTTCCATTTATTTATCCTTTCAGTAGTTTCTTCTCATTTTTGCCGTGTGGGTTGCTCGCTTAGTTTTCTTCAAGGCTCATCGAAACAAATTCTCCTTTTCTTCTCAACCAGCTAACTGTTTTATCCGATCTATTTTATAATCCCCCCATGTAATTATTAAGAGATCACTGTACCAGGAGGGCATTGTAAAATAGATGGATTCTTCTTTTTTAGGTTATTTAACACAAATTGTTTCAAACCTTTTATTGTATTAGAATTTGTTTTGTTATCAAATAGCAATTTCAAGTGCCAGCTTAAAAATATTAGCAATCATAGCGTTACTATGAAACGCGATGAAACTTTTTATTGGTGAAATGTTTCTCTAAGATTTGTGATTTTGGAACGGAGACTTTTACAGCTATTTTTTTCATCAAGTTTAGTTTTAAACATCAGCGCCATCACGAGTATTTAGTTTTTTAAATCTATTTTGTTTTAAGCAATGTTTATGCGTTGTTTTGACGGTTACACGTTTGCCCCAACTCTTTTAATCTCTAGCCAACTTATCCTATACCAACTTTCCGAATATGGCTATTTGTCCTAATCCGTCTTGGCGAAAAAATAAAATTCGTTTCAAATTGAGTAATCCAGATTAAGTTTTTGCATTGAGTTTGAAAGAAAGAAAAAAATGAACAAAATGGAGCAAGTTGACATAGGACAAGTTGTCGTATGGGCTGACCGCCGACTTATCATGAGGGAAGTTGTTCTAGGTCCAATTGTCCTGACATCAATTTGAACTAAATTTGAATATTTTTCCAAACATTTCGTGCTGGTGCTGAAACCTGATTGTCTAATTCTAGCCAATCAGATTCAAGCAAATTAGTTTCAGTTCAAGATCATGAAATATTGATTTTGGGCTAATCAAGGAAAAAGACCCCCAAATTTGGGTAGTTAGGATGTTTAAATTCTAGAGGGTGAGGTAATCACCCTGTCCGAACCTCCAAAAATCCGCTGCGGGTTTTGGCTTATTCTCACTGTTAACGTGTTGCTGTAATTCTTTGTCCAGCTTTTGACCTTGTACACCGTGTTTTGTTACTGCTTTTTTTGAACTTGAGTGACCGCTTTGTTTGATCTAACTTTCTGCCAGTTTCTATCTAAAAATATTAGTTTGGTTGTTCAACTAATGTGAATTTAACTGGGATTGAAATTACAAAAAGCGTAACAAATAGCTGCAGGAATTGACCCGATTACGTTTAAACATATTACTTGATGATTGAGCAAGAATTGAAATTGGAGCAAATTTGAAATTTGGTATTGGTTTTCTGTAAAACCTCCTTGAATGTGTTTACTGTGAACCTGGCGCGGGGCTTTTATTTGACCTTTATTTTAGCAATCTGCAAATTTACTGGTTGATTCGAGTAAATAAATAATGACCAACACTGACCAAAGTACAAGGCAATGGAAATCCCAAAATCTGCTGAGAGTTTAATAAAGAATGAAACTATTGTGTAAAGATTGAAGAAATTCTTGAAAATGAACAAATGAAAGGTTTCTTGAAGTTGGAGACGTTTTAAAGATGCAATAGTGTTGGTATGAGTATTTCTGAGAACACTACTTTCAACTATTGATGTGATGACATTAACACCGACATTCTGGTAAATTTTGATTCAATGAACCCTGTGTAACTGACTCTGCACTTGAACCCTATAAGGCGCACTTGAACCCTATAAAACGATGATCTGGATGACCTTGAACCGTGGTTTAGGTGAAGAATATTTGTGAGCGAGCGGACACTCTGGCTGGTAAATATGGAGACTATTCGGACGAGATTCTCGAGAAAAAAATGTCGATTAATGACATCTGGGCTAAACTGCAGGCGGAGGCGACAGACAGGAAGAATAAGTTGAATGCGGCGCATGATATGTTTCTGTTCTTGGGGGAGCACACTGACTTGATGCAGTGGATTAAGGAGAAGACGACGCTGTTGAAGAGTGACGAGTTGGCTACTGATGTTCCAGGGGCGGAGCAGTTGATTAACAGACACAATGAGCACAAGGTTAGAAAAGGGTGTTACACCCTAGAGAAGGGTGGAACTTTTCCAGTCAAATAAAGTTCATTTCCCAATTATTGGCATCCCCATCTATTGGCAATATCGGCAATTATTGCCGTGATTAGCCTAAAAATTTTTAAGTTAATTAAATAATGCAGTGTTTCTTAGCACAATCAACTGTTCTAATTGTTGAAATAACTAGAAAAAATAATTGGGCTAGCGTTTAGCTATTTAAGTTAGCCTGGAGAGTATTATGGCTTGTTAAGTCAAATGCCGAATGTAGGTCATGCCGAATATTGGCAATTCTGCATTTAATGCTGTGATCGGTCAAATTTATTTTTGCGTCCATTAGTTCAATTTATTTTTTGTGTAATGGCGTGATTTTGAAATATCGATAGCAATATATGTATCCAGGCTGAGCTGTTGGCGGAGGAAGATTCATTCACGCGATGTGAAGACTTGGGCAACAAACTCATAGAGGCCGAGCACCCCAACTCGGACTCCATCAAGGACAAACTGGCCGAGTTGGCGCGGGAGAAGGCGGCCCTGTTTGCCCTGTGGGACGAGAGGAAGTTGATCTACTCGCAGTGCATTGAGTACCAGATATTCTGCAGAGACGTGGAACAGACGGAGGCCTGGTTGGCCAAACAGGAGGTCAGGATTAGTATAAGATACGCACTTGCACAGGAAAATGTCTTAAAATGCTCTTATAACTAGAGAACTCGTTCATTTTAATGCAATTATGTATGAACGCACTTGGGTATATATACAGCTTTTAAGAATCGATGAACATACTTCAGACCCTTATATAGGTTGCGATGGTTTTTAAAAAAATTTTTTTGGAAAAATTTCTCGGTTTGTTTTCTGATTTTTTTTTTAAATTCATTTTATTTCCATTGTTAAAAGGAAGACAAACTCCACTTTCGAACAACAAAAGAGTAAAAATCACGTGAAACAAAGTAACAGTCTGGAATGAGGGGAGATAATAAAAATGGACTCTCCTCGACAGGATTATTAAGGCCTATTGATAGCTCCTCTGTGATTCGCAGGAACCACAAAAAGTTTTAGTTTCGAAATTGGAATTTAATTTTCAGATATCCCATCGAAATAAACAATTTTATTATCGAACCAGTTCTCTCAAATGGGCTGATTTTCTCTAAAAAAAATTATGCCAATCATAATTGTTCTAGAAATTCAAAGAGTTTCAAGTAATCAATTTTTGTTTGAAATTCGAAAGCTGAGATTTTTGCAAAAAATAAGTCCTTGACGTTCATTGACTCTTTTCCAACTGTCTGTTGGCTGTGTTTTTATCTTTTTGCTTGTAATAATTCCATTTGTTCAGGCCTTCCTGGACAACGATGACCTGGGTGACTCTGTGGATGGAGTGGAGGCCCTGCTGAAGAAACATGAGGACTTCGAGAAGAGTCTGTCTGCTCAGGAGGAGAAAGTGAACACTTTGAGTGACTTTGCCAACCAGTTGATTGACACTCAGCCTCCACACTACGCTACAGATGACATCACTAAGAGACGAGACGCAGTAAGTATTGCTTGAATAAAAAAATCTAAAATCCTCTTTTTTGAATCAAAAAAATCCTAAAACCTAAAATCCTGTTATATCCAAAACCTAAGTTGATATTGTAGCATTTTTTTCCTGGTACATCTTGTTAAGAAAGTGCTGCAAATGCCAAGCTTATGGTCAACAGAATAACGAAATTTGGAACAAAATTTATCCTAGATGAGATTAGATGATTTGTGTTTAGCTGGTGAACCGACGTAAAACTTTGCATGAGAAGATGCAGAGTAGACGCACTCTTCTGGAGCTGTCCTTCAGATACCAGCAGTTCGAAAGAGACGCTTACGAGATCAAAACGTGGATCAACGAGCGCTTCAAGACAGTCAGAGACGAGAGTGCCTACAGGGACCCCACCAACCTCCAAGGCAAGCTGCAGAAGCACCATGCATTCACAAGTGAGATCGAGTCCAACAAGGCCAGGATTGATGGAGTGTTGGCTACTGGACAGCAGATGATTAACGAAGATCATTTCCAGAGCGACGAGTGAGTCTCGTTTTGTATATATTTTTTAGATTTTTGGCCATAAGCAATTTTTTTGGCGTCTGCTTTTGCAACTGCAGTTTTTAGTATTAACTTTTGCTCAAATTGAATTGGAAAAAAATGAGAATTAGAAGTTATGAAATGTGATTTTTTAAAGTTCTGCACATTTGTTATGGGCATTGTTTTGCACATTTGTTATGGGCCATGGCTTTGACGCTTTGATTTTAAAATCTAATCTGTGTTCTGAAATATGGTGTCAAATTTGTTGTCTCTTTTTAAGCGAATTTATCTCAAAGTGAGCATCAACCTACTGGGAAACTGTAATGAAATAATTAATCAGAGATTCATTTGAACAGATATCGCATTCCCCGAATGTTTATATTCTTTTTCGAACACATGATTTTTTGCCGTGATGAGCTCTAGCATATTGCTTGTGAAATTGACATTGTTATACATGGTTGATATTCCGGGAATGTGTTATCGCAGGGTTAATGAAATCTCGGCTCTTTTTTCGTATTCCGCCCACAATTATTTTTTTGTAGAGTTCCAAAATAGTAATCAAAAATAAAATTGAAACAACGAATTAGCGACTCATTTGATTTCAACCAATCAATTGCTAGCATTTCCAATTATCTTTTCCTATTTCGTGACTTGGAAATTTGGACGGAATCAGTTAAAAGAAGAAACAATGTCTTCATCTCAGTTAATCGTGTTGGCTTTTTCTCAGTCATAATGTGGAGGGCTTCTGTCTATCTGAAACTGTTTTGTGATCTGTATAGTAATTTTCCTGCTTCCTAATCATAACTGTAATGTGTTTTGTGAAAACGTCTTCATCTGAAAAATTAATACGCAGTCCGAGCAAAGTCAACAACTCTTATCCTTGAATATGCATAATTGCGAACGAAAGTTTCTACGACACTATGATTTTCAGATGACTAAACAAAAACAATTTGAACAAACTGCGATTCAAATTTCTACGACAAAACTGATTTACAGTTTACAAAAACTGCAACAGCAATCAGTTTTTTCTTGAAAGTAGTACCTAGCTAGAGTATTCTTGATTTTATTTAGTGAGTCCTGAACCCTTTCGATTTGTTGACTTAGCTCTTATTCTCTGTTCACGTCTCTCAAGTTTTGTTCTTGAAATCACAAGTTACATTTCACAGGATCCATGACCGAAACCAGGAACTGAAATCGGAGTTCGGGCAGTTGGAAGATGAGACGAGACAAAAGGAGGTGTTGATTGTGGCGGCGATTGACGCCCAGGCATACTACAGAGGAGTGGAGGATCTGGAGTTGTGGATGAGTGAGATCGAGGCACACTTGGCCAGTGATGACTACGGCAAGGACCTGGCATCTTGTCATAACCTGATTAAGAAGCACCAGCTGCTGGAGGTGGATGTGCAACAGCACAGAGACAGAGTAGAGGGTGTGTACAGACAGTGCAAGAAGTTCACGGAGGCCAAACACTTCGACACTCCCAACATCAAGCACAAGCAGGAGGAAGTTCAGAGGAGATATGTCGACCTCAGGGTCAGTCATCGTTGCCTGGATTTATTGCTTTTAGGCGTATTAATACAACAGGATTCAGTTTCAATCTTTTTGGGAACCACTGAGTCATCAGTGTATGGATAGATCAAAGAGAATTTGACCAAAATTATTGTCAAATGATCACGAACATTTTTTGAGGCCCCACGAGTGTCCTCAAATGTAATTAATATTTCAAAAGACCAAGAAATTTTGTCTTCCATAAATCAATTGTGTTGTGTTCGTTAGGATCCGATGAAAAAACGAAAGGCGAAGCTGGAAGACGCCATGAGACTGCACCAGCTGTTCCGGGACATTGAAGACGAGGAGTCCTGGATTCGAGAGAAGGAGCCGGTAGCCCAGAGCCAGGCCAGAGGAAAGGACTTGATCGGGGCCCAGAAGTTGCTGAAGAAACACCACGCGCTCATTGCAGAGATAGATGCTCACGAAGACAGTCTGAACAAGGTTGGTGTCAGAGATTTAATTTTTTTGTCACCATTTACCTTGAAGCGCTTATTCGCTGTTCAAGAAGTTTTTATTTTGAAAAAATAAAGAAATTGAACACGACTTAGATTTCGGATTTTGAGGGATGATCGATGAAAATCCAGATTCAAGTCAGGATTAATATAAACGCGTCATATTTGTTCTTTTCAGGTTGTGCAAACAGCTAAAGACATGATGGGCGAAGAGCATTTCGCAGCCGAGGAGATCCAGAACAAGATCGATGACGTCACAGCCATGTGGGACAAGCTGAAGGAGAGGAGCAACGCCCGACTTGACGATCTCCAGGATGCCTTGGAGGCACAGGAGTACCTGCTGGATGCTAATGAAGCCAGTGCCTGGATGAATGAGAAGCTACCCTTGGTGGCACCGACCGGAAAGTACGGAAAGAACCAGGATGCCATCAACGTAAGAGATTTAACCAACTATTTAGGCAGAAATAATTTAGGTAGCCTAATCGAAACGTGACATGATCTTGGGGATAGTGAGCATATGGCACTTGCAAAAATATGATTCGTACTGACAGTCGAATCCAAAACCTTTCGTTTTGAAGTATTGTAAAAAACGACCCATCAAAAATGATTTTTTTTTGAAATGCAGGTTTCAGCTTTAGAAAACATGATTTAGGAAACATGAAAAAAAGGAAACATGAAAAAAATGCTAAAAACGACTAGAATCATCTTCATCCTTGCTTTGTTGTTAAGTCTGCTGTGAAGAAGCACCAGAACCTGATGAAGGACATAGACAGCTACAAGAAGGTGATAGACAACCTGGCCCAGAAGGCACAGGAGTGCAAGGCGCCAGACAAGGAGGTCACCGATGTGGTGGATCTGGAGTGTGCCACGGTGGTGTACGACTATCTGGAGAAGAACCCGAGGGAGTTGTCAGTCAAGAAGGGAGAGACCGTCACTATCCTCTCCACGCCAACAAGGGTAGGGTAACAAATACCTTCGTTGATCATGAAGCGAAAACACTCGGCAATTCACTGACAATCAGGGGAAGATTTAAGGGAGGATTCGACCCCCTCGCCACCCAAAGGGTCCCCTTTTGAACTATTACGGAATCCCCATCTGGCAGACTTGCACCTAATTTTTTCTGAGGCAACTTTGGCGTCAATTATACCAATTTTGTCATAACCTTCCAAAAACTGCCCATATTTAGCGTTTGGCTTAATAGTCTTTATAGTGTCTTGGTAGAGCTCGGAAAATCAATTTGGCCGGCCTATAAATGGTCAATAATTTTTCATTTTTTTTTGAAATGCGTCTGCCCTCGAGAATTCTAGATTCGCCCTTGATGGCAATGCTTCAAAGCAACTATGTTCAAATTGTGTCCATTTATCTAAACCGGAGCAAAACTATGCTAGTCCTAGAGAAGTATAATTTGCCTCATATTGTTGTTGTTTCCAGGACTGGTACAAGGTGGAGAATCAGGAGGGCAAGCAGGGCTTCGTGCCGGCCAATCACCTGAAGAGGGCAGAGCCAGTGGTGAAGAGCAGCCAGGAGAGACTGGCGGAGGAGGCGAGGACGGTGTCCGACCGACAGAAACAGATTGAGAACCAGTACGGCGACCTCAAGGTCAGAACAACACATACACAACATACATGCATTAAAGTATAGGGGAGTTGTCTCACCACCCAAAAGAACCGTTATCTACCAGTTTAAGGGGAAAAACACGATGTTTTTTTATCGAAACCCACCACAACGAGGCTCAAGAACGACGTTCTCTAATCGATTTGTGAAGTCGTGTCCTATATATTATTTTGGGCGGAGTATGAAAAAAGACAGGACGAAGTAATTGAGTTGTTTAAGTTGAGCTTGACGTGTGTTTCCATTCGCAGGGGGCAGCAGAGAAGAAGGAGCGTGCTCTGAAGTTGAGGACCGAACTATACGGACTGAAGGGAGAGTCGAAGAACCTCCTGATGTGGACTTCCAAGAAGAACCACAACAAACTACTCGACCAAGTGGTGAGTTAATTGTCTTTCTCTTTCTTTCATAATAAACTGCTTGCAATTTAGATTCCATTCACTGTAAATTTCGAACATTTACATTAAAATGAAATATAATTTCAAGAAAGCCGTGCAACTTTGCAGACAGTTTTCAGGTGCCTCTAATTTCGTATTGGTTTTTGTTCTTTTTCACTGTCGATAGTCAATCCGAAAATGGAATAGTACAGCTATACTTTCGTTACATGCCACAATAAGTTCTCATGCTTTGCGGATCTCATTCCAAAGGATCCGTCTCGACCGAACCTTTGATGCCATTTACGAGATTCCGTAATTAAGCTCTTACATCTGAGTTTGATTGTATTAGTGTTTTTACTACATTAATAAGATGAATAATAGTTCTAAACTTATTTTTTTTTTTTTGAATAATTTAAGAGTCGATGAACGTAGTTCAGACTTTTATTTCGGTGGCGATGATTTTTTTTTCAGGATAAATCTATTCTTGTTCAGGCTCAAATTAAGAGTAATGAACGTAGTGAAGACTCTTATATAGGTCTTGGTGATTTTTTTTGTTTTTTTTTCAGGAAAGGGTCTTAAAATTCTCTAATAACTACAGATGTGCATTCATGCATGTTAATGCGTTTATGAATGAACTTAGTTATATGTGCACTTTTTGAGTTCAATTGAAATTCATCTGCTGAAATTTATGTAAATAGCACTCTCTAAATACGAACGTGGAAATAACGGGAAAAAGTGATCAATTTCTAGTTTCGAAAGTAGAATTTAATTTATAGATTTCCAGCTGAATAAAAACTTCACCTATTGATCCAGTTTTCTCAAGTTGGGTTAATGTTATCAAAAAGTGCCGATCATAAATTGTGCAAGAGTTTCAAAGAGCTTAAAGTGCATCTATTTTTTCTTTGAAATTCGATAGTTGAGGTTTTTTCAACGAAGTCAGTTTTTTTTCGGCGTTCATTGACTCTTTTCCAACTGTCTGTTGGGTTTTTCCAACTGTCTGTTGGCTATGTTCTATTAAGTAATGACTTTGAATGTACTGACAATTGTGTGTAGGACAATGTATTGACTGCTGAAGACGAGGATCTGGACAAGATAGACGAGTTGTCCTCTAAATTTAACAATCTGCAGAATGATGTAGAGAACAGCAAGAAGAAGTTAGATGAAAACAAGAACAAGTACGAGGAACTCAAAGCACAGTTGGACGATGACGAAGAGGTTTGTTATTTATATTTTGGTCTTCAAAATCACAATCATTACCAGGCTTTTGTTGTTTTTTCTCTTCCATAGATAATAACTGGATATCACTGCAACAGTTTTTCCTTACAATGATAAATGAACTATTAAAAAGCATCGAATGAAAAAAGCAACTCTCAAAGTATGATTTTGTTCTGCGAGAGATTTTTTAAAAGTTAAATGACAACACGTCGCGAGTAGCGAATTTCCGCTCTGCTTAAACGAAAGCTGTTTTTCGGTAGAACAACAGCAGTGGATTTTTTTAACTATTTGTCCGATTCTAATTTTCTTTTTTTTTAAATTGAAAAACTTGTTCTGAAACTTCGCATATTCATTTCCCATTGAAAGACATAATTGCAACCGTTTCTTTATTGACGTAGAGTGTGTCCTTTTAAGGTGCCTGAAGATCTGCTCACTGAGGACATGGAGCATGCAGTGGAGGCAGTGTCCTATCTGCAGAACAAAGTGTTCGACAAGAGCAGCCAACTCGGATCCGCGCACGAAGTCAAAAACTACATCAGGTAATCAACGAACGAAGCATTACCTCTCGGTGAGAACCTCTCGGTCGATTTGAAAGAAATAGTTCTAAATTGGAGATGCTCGCAAAGTAGTAATAATTTCCAGCCGTTGTAATTGATCCGATGACTCTCTGGGAATTAGAAGAAACTATGACTCTGGATAGAGAACTTTGTCGCATAAATTAAGATATTCATAAGATAATTCATAAACAGTCGAAAATTCATTTAAAATTAGGCAGTTTTCTAAGTTTTACCAAGGTGGTCAAAAGTGTGAATTTGAGTGAAAACATAATTCGGAAGCTTCAGAAATAAGTATTTTATGCTATTTGCAAGAACTTCGTAGAAAGTTAACGTAATAACTTACTTTTTATAGGGAGTCGGACCTTGTGTTGGAGAGAATAAGTGAGAAAGACAAGGCGATCAAAGAGGGCTACTATGGCAACGATCTTCCATCTGTGCAGGCACTGAGCAGGAAACACGAGGCGTTCCAGAAGGACCTCGTGCCGCTGGAGGAGAGTGTGAAGAACTTGGACGACAGACACACCAAGTTGATTGACACTCATCCTGACCAGACTGATGAAATACAGGTAAAAGAAATACTCAGCTATGAGTGTTTGAGGTTAATGAACGTAGTGAGTACTCTTATATAGGTCTTGCTGATTTTTTTTTCAGGAAAGTCTTAAAATTTGTTCATGTTCAGTTTTGATTTTTTAAATTCTGAATGACTGGTAGACATGCTATTGTTTGGATTAACATTTAAATCCGTAAAGTAGTTTTAAAAAAAAACAATTGATTCTAGAAAGTGGTTAATGAATTCTAGAACGAGTGCATGAACTTCTAGGAAATGAAAACATCCCAAAAATTGATCATGTCGTTCGTGAAATTAAAAATGACTCGTTTCATGATAACCATGGTCTTGGTCCAGACAGCCGGCTCTAATTTAACTCATGGATAAGCCTGTTTTGAAGTTTTTGAGGATCTTATGAAGGTGTAAGGACAAAAGATACCATACCAAAAGCTCCCATGACTTCTTTACTAGGCCAGTTAGTACCTGATACATGCAATAATAAATCGTCTCTAAGTGTTGATTAGAAGCGGTCTTGCAGTAATTTAAACCAAAACTGAACCAGACTGCCCGTATCAGGGCGAAGCCCTGAATGTTCCGACTGCCTTTTAAGGTTTTATGGAGCAGTAATAACTTTAAAAATTAAATGTAATAAAATTTTAAAAAAAAATTTTAATTTGAAATTTTTTATGAAAATCATCCCCCCACACGCCATTTAAAGTACAAAAGATAGAGGGATTAACTCTCCGCTTACGCGTTAATAGCGCGAAATATATCGCACGTTAATTGTCCCAAATTGTCCAAAATGGCAATCTTTAAACCCCCATAACTTTACGAAAAGTGATCACAGGTGAAATATCTTTTCAAATTTGAGCTCAGAACAACATTACTTTTCGAATGATATTAAAAAAATTCCGTCAAAAATGGCAAGTTAAAAAGTCGAAGTTTGTCTGAAGAAAAAAAACCCACCCCGAGCACAAATATTCCGTTACTTTCGTATCGAAAGTCGGAACAATAACAAATTGAATGTATTGAAATAACTGAAATAACTTCTTCGTCTCTACAATAAACATACCAAGTTAAGAAATCCCTCCCCCTACTTTCTAATTCTGATTGAATTCGCTCTATGCTGCGTGTTAGCTATTGCTAAAATCCCCCCGGTCATTGCATTAGACGATGTTAGTTAATTTGATCCTTTAAATGAAACTATTGATTGTTGGAAAAATGAAGGAGTTTAGTTTGATATCGATTTAGTCTAACTTGACGTCCTTTTCTATTTGAAACAGACATTGGTAACTACTTCTATTCTAAAGTTTCTTTCTCGAGCTGCCTTACCGCTGCCTATCTCAATGCTACCTTAATTACTCACATTTAAATACCCTCTTTTTCAGTTTTAACATTTTCATATAAATGCAATTATATACTTTTAAGTTTTTTACTGCGACCTAAATTGCTGCGAAGTTAATATAGTTTTAAAATAAGTTAACATGATTTTTAAGTTCAAACGTAGTACAAAAGTATTCGCCGCAGTGGAAAAAATTGAAAACGTGAAATCTAATTTTTGTTGATAATTTTCAGGAGAAACAGAAAGAAGTGAATGAGGCGTGGGAGGCGCTGAAGAACAAGAGCGACAAACACGCAGCCGGACTTCTGGAGGCCTACGAGTACCAGAAGTACCTGGCCCAGTACAGGGACACCATGGCGTGGATAAACGGCATGAAACAACTGGCTGGATCGGACGAACTCGGTACGTCACATTATTTAAAAGGACTCTTTTCCTACTGTTTGTTGATTTGAAAATCCATCTTCCCACTCGAGAAAATCGTAGAAGCTATGGAATGTTCAGTTTTACTGTGTATAGAAAGAAATCGCGAAAAACTCGTTTATCTTTGACAATGTGAATGTTTTGATAAATGTTTCTTGAATATTTACTCAACGGCGGCAATTGTGTTTCTAAACGTATTTTCCATAAATTGAAAATCCTTCCAGACCAAATTGTGAAGATTTTGTAATTGTTGTTGTTTCGAATTTAAAAAACTCAGACTTGGCTGAGTTTTTTAAATTCAGAAGAGAAAAAGAATGAATTTAAAAAAGATAGGCTTTCTTTTTCACTGCAAAAAGAGTGGCTTCTTTTTCTCTTCTGACTGCTAGCTCGCAAGGATTGTTTTGTGGTATCGCAAGTTGCGCATAGGTCCGCTTCGCCTGTGTAGACGTTTGTATATATGCTGATGTTTTTCTTTCAATTTTGAAAATGTTAGGATTCTGATTGACATAACCGAAGTGAGTGCTGATGATGTTGTGATAAATCAAAACAGATTGAGTTTCTGGCTTTGAGTTACAGGTCCAAAAGGTATAATACTGGCTTGACTTGTGGGGGTTTTCACGTTTCTTCAAGATAAATCATGTTTCTCTTGTGCTTAACAATCACATCACGCTTTCACAATTATTACTTTGCTTATTTTCTGTTGATTGACAACAGATTGAAAGGTTTATTTATTTAGTTCATTTACACCGAAATATTTTTGACTCCTAAAATCGGTATTTGAATTTGATTCACGTGGGCTTAAATTAAAAATCTAAAACAATTTTATACTGGTAAGAGGAGTGTTCAGGGAGGGGGTGTTGAAAACCATTTGGGTCGACCTAAAAACAGGGTTGACAAATTTTTGAAATTTTGCCCTTTCAATTCCATCTCGATAAAGTCTAGATCTGTACTCGACGCAGGTGATAAATTAACTCACCATAGAAGCTGTGGAATGATTAACTTTCTGTGTATAGATACAAATTGCTAGTACAGTCACCCTTTTTCAATCGTTTTTTAAGAGTCGATGAACGTAGTTCAGACTCTTATATAAGTCGCGATGATTTTTTTGTTTTTTTTTCAAGGGAAAAGTCCTAAAATTTGTTTAGACTCAAATTTACTTTTTCGCGGTTTAAATTTTGATTTATTTTAAAGTTTTGTTCATTTCATTTGTTAAATTGTTAAAAGGAAGGAAACTCCACTATCGAACAGCAAGAGTGTAAAGTTAACGTAAAACGTGAAAGAATAATTTTCTGAATTACCAGCTGAATGAAAACTTCTCACTTGACGCAGTTCAGTTTGATCTAAATATGATAGTTTTCAGGAAAAAATGCAAATCATGAACAATTCTTGAAATTCAAAATGCTTTAATGTGATATATCTTTTCCTTCTATTTTTTTAAAATTGAAAAATTTTGAAATATTTTCTTGTTTCTTTGCACTTTTCAACCATCTGTTGGCTAATTTTTTTTCCGGTTTTAATTGTTGTATATGAGAAAGAGTTGTGAACCGGAACCTTAAACAGAAAAGTTTTTTATCCTTGTTTTTTTGTTCCTTTTAGTTCTGGAAACTATTTGTTCTGTAACTTAGCTTCAAGTTCGACAAAATTTCTAGTTGCAGTCCTCTTAAATAAAATTTCAATCAAGTAAATTAAGCGAACAATTGATGAGTTGTTTTCTGCTTCAAGGAAAAGACGTCAACAGCTGTGAGGCTCTAATTGAACGACATGACGACTTGAAGAACGAATTGGAAGCCAAAGTGCCTCAGTTTGATGCGTTCTACAATCTGGCTGATGATCTGGTCAACGACAAGCACCCCGAATCAGAGGAGATCAAGAGGATGAAAGATGAGGTGAAGAAGGCATTGGCTGATTTGGACGAAGTCTATGAAGAGCGACAGACGAAACTGGAGGCTAACAAACAACACCAGCAGTTCTTGAGGGACTTCAACCAGAACTCGGCCTGGATGAATAACAGGGAGAAGACTCTGGGCCAAGACGACGATGATGTGGACTCTGTGATGAAGAAGCACGAAGACTTCGACAAGTTGATCAACAACCAGGAAGAGAAGATAGCAGCTTTGACCAAATTTGCAGAGGAATTGGGACCCGATCATTATGCGTCTCCAGATATTGAAGCGAAGAAGGAGGACATGATTAAACGATGGGAGCACTTGAAGGAAGCTCTGGTCCAGAAACGATCTCAACTGGGAGAATCCCAGACAATCCAGGAGCTGGTGCGAGATGCGGATGACATTGAGTCGTACATCCAGGAGAAGATGGTAGTCGCGAACCAAGACGACTCGAATGACGGCAGGAATATCCCGAGCAAGCACCAGAAGCAACTGGCGTTCGAAGCGGAGTTGGCGGCTAATGCGGAGAGGATCCAAGCTACTCTCTCTGTAGGAAAAGGTTAGCTTATAAATCTATGAACAGTTTCAACTTTTCTTTTAGGCACAATTATTAAGCTTTGTTTGTGCCTTGGAGAAATGCAGATATCAATTTCCGATTTTTGAAGAAACCTATTTAAAAATTTAGGCATTCTCAGAAACAAAATAGAGTTTAAGCAGTTTGTAACTGCGAGGAGGAAAGTCATATAAAAAATAAGTAGTAGACATTTGAATTAAGTATGAGTCGCATCATGAATGTTCAGTTATTCAACCGGTTGTTCTTCCTTTGCCTGTAGCTCTTCTGGACTCGAAGAAGGTGCAGGGTGAGGAGGAGAAGGAGATAGCAGCCAAACTGGCCAAGATCACGGAGCAGTATGAGTTCCTGGTGCAGAAGACCACCCAGAAGACTGCCAGACTGAAGGAGGCCAACCGGCAGAGACTCTACTACACTGCATACAAGGACTTCGACTTCTGGCTCAGCGAGGTAACCCCAGTACTACTTTATAGTCTAAAATATCAAAGAATGTCAACACGTGACTTTATTCTAAGTCATGGCATTTTGACGTCGTTGGATGACAAGGGCGGAACATGTTCGGGATCAGTGATGTTTTTTTTTGGTATTCTGTTGGAATCGAAAGCGAAGGATAGCGTGAAATGGTTAATAAGAATAAAAAGTTTTTGTGTTGGATTATTTTTCTGACGAAATTGTTTTGCGGAGGTTGCAACTAACTATTTAAAACTTATTTAATTATCTTCAGTACAGTTTTGGCGCCTAATGTGAATTTTTGTAGTAGTACTGGAGTTGGTTTTCAAAATATCTCTTGCTAAAATCATTTAGCCTATAACATGAATGAATCTTTCCAGCAGACATTTGTTGGTCTTTTTTATTATTTCCAAAATACCACGCTTTTAGAAACGAGCATAGTGTTCACATAATGTAAACTACTATGACATGAATGAAGGTTTTCAGAAACTTTTTAGGTTCTCCAAATTACTTTTTGTTCAAACTAGTGTTAACTACGAGATGAGTAATGTTTGTGTCTGTGATTGACAGGTGGAGAGTCAGCTGAAGATGGAGGAGAAGAGCAATGACCTGAGTACAGTGCAGAACCAGAGGAAGAAGCACCAACTGCTGGAGGACGATGTGGCCGCACACGCAGACAGACTCGTGCAGCTAAACGAGCTGGCCGAGGAGTGCATGGCGTCGCCCCAATTTGACCCCGTAGAGGTAAAGTTAAGGCTCTTTTCTGTTATTCGGCCCAAAATGATAAGAGACATGATTTGGTGGTTTGGAATAGTTGGGTATTGTTCAATAGGATTATAAACATTGATTGATAATGAAGCAATTTTTACAGCGTCAATGAATTGAGAAGATACTTGTAGCTTTTGTAAATTGATTGTAATTAATTTCACCACACCCCTTTGGTCATTTATCGAATCTAGAATTTTAATTTAGATTGCGAACTCAATGCTGTATAAGAGTCGATGAATGCAGTGAAGACGCTTATATAGGTCTTGATTTTAAAGAAAAAAATCCATTTTTTCTTTGAAATTCGAAAATTGAAGTTTTCGAAAAACGCGTTTTTTCAAAAACAAAACTTTTTTCTAACTCTCGTTTTTGTGTGTTAGATTGAGCAGAAGAGGTCCAACATCAACGACCGATTCGGAGTAGTGTCTGACATGACTAAGGACAGGAGGAAGCAGTTGGATGATGCGTTCAAGTACCACCAGCTGTTGAGGGACATCTCGGAGGAGGAGACCTGGATTAGGGAGAAGAAGATCTTGGTCCAGTCTCAAGACTACGGAAAGGACCTCACAGGTTAGTTGCTGTGCTTGAGTTTAATAGTTATTTATGCTGAGTGAAAAAATAAGCGATTTTTTTTTGAAAAAAACTGCCTTCTGATAACGGATGTAGAGCAATATCTTTAAGGTTCGCTATATAGTCACCACTTGTATCGAAAATGAGTATTAATCTTGAACACCCGATATTTCACCAGATATTTGATTTAAGATTCTATTTTCGGGATATGAAAAAAGGCTTTCTATGGTTCCAGTAGGAGAAGAAACTTCTGAGAAATGTACACTTGCGTGCGGTTAAGAAACTGTGGTCAAAAAGGCGAAAAGTATTTTTTTTGCTGATGAAACGTCAAAAAGGCAACAGATGTTTAAAGAAGTGTCATATGTTTTCAGGTGTGCATAATCTGATGAAGAAGCACAAGCGTATAGAAAATGAGATCCAGAGCCACGAGAAGAGGATAGAGGCGGTGAAGCCGATTGCGGATGAAATTGTGAAGGAGCAGACCACTGGATGGGAGACAGTGCCTGGAAGGATTGAACAGCTGGACCAGGCATGGAGTGAACTACTCGAGTGCTCCAAACAGAGGTGGTACATTCTTCTTAAAATACATTACACTATCAAGATTGGGGGATCCCTCATGCGCGAAAGTTTTGTCAGCTACTCAGAACTCATTATCAAGAGCAACGAACGCAGTGAAGACTGTTACGAAGTCTTGGTGATTTGTTTAAGGAAAATTCTTACAATCTGTTCAGGCTCAAATTTGCTTTTTATGGTTTGAACTTTTGATTTTTCTTTAAGTTCGTTTCCTTGGTAAAAAGGATGGGAAACTCCACTATGGAACAGAAAAAATGTGAAGGTCACGAAAAACGTGATCCAATTCTAATTTCGAAAGTTGAATTTGTTTTTCAGATTTCCCAGCGGAATTCCTATTGATCCAGTTTTCTCAGTTTGGGTTATTTTTATCAAAAAAGTCAATCATAAATTGTTTTTGGATTTCAAAGAGCTTTAAGGGCATCGTTTTTTTTCTTTTTGAAACTAGGAAGTTTAGCAATTGTGGTAAGTTTGTTAAAGAATTCGTGTAATTGTGGTATACCATGACTGAACGATCTAAGGGCGGAAAATTCCCGGACAATCAAAAACCCTGGATTTTTTCGAAATTTAGATTTTTCTGGACAAATAACTTTGGCATTCAGTTTTTTTTGCGATTATGGATTCACCGAAGTTTTACTAAAATTCAGCTGTTTCCTATTTTATATTTAAACTCAATATACTATTCAGTTTTTGCTTTGTTGTTACTTGAAGGTCTTGGTTATCATAGCTCATGCGAACTTTATGCTAACTGCTAAACTTTTTAAAAGGAATCACTAGCTCAAACGATTTAAAAGGTATGCTCTTTATTTTTTTGGCATAAAATGACCATTTGTGTTCAGAGTTGACATGTTGAATGAGTCGCAACGCTTCTACGAGTTCATCCGAGACGTGGAAGAGGAGGAGTCTTGGATCTCGGAGAAGCAGTCGCTGATGAGTAGCAACGACTTCGGAGACACTCTAGCGTCTGTACAGGGACTGATCAAGAAACACACTGCATTCGACATGGATGTAGTGTCCCACACTGACAAGGCTAATCTGCTGGAAGTGAGGGGAAATCAGCTGATTGAAGAAAAGAATTTGCAATCTGACAAGGTATGGAGGCTGGAAGCATTAGCTAAGTTGAACATATAGCACCAAAGTCTTTTCTTTGATACATAATATAGTTCGGCGGTTAATGAGTTTTATACAGACGCGGTTAAAGAGCCAAATTGGATGTACCGTGCTATCTCTGCTAATAAGATAATTTCTAAGGAATACTACAAGTAAGGCTGTTAAAACCCGTAGAGTGGCCCTGATATAGTTGAAAATGACCCTAATTTGTTTGGTAATGAACTGCGATTTCTACTTCTGTATCTAATGAACCTTAAATCTGGTCATTTTTTGATATGTTTCTCATTATCTGAATGTGAAATTTTCAAAATTCAGATTGATATAATTGAAGTGAGTGCTGCTGTTGTGAACAAAACCTGTCAAAATTTACGGTGGACTTCCTCGTGCCCGAATGACCGCAAATTGTGTGAGGCTATCAGAGTTCAGTATTCAAAAGTTTGAAAGAAATTAGCCCGAAAATCTGGCAGTTTTGGAAAGTTCAAATGACTTTGTGTTTGAAAATTTACGGTTGTTCGAAAATGAGTATTGTTTCCCAATTTCACTTTCTCAGCTGTTATGTGTATATAAAATAGATAGATTTTTTGGCTTTGAAATACAACTGTTGAGTTACAGATGAAAAAGGTAGAAAACTGGCTTGATTGGCGGGGGTTCACTTTCACGTTTATACAAGATAAACCATGTGTCTTGTGCTTAACAATCACATCACGCTTCCACAATTGTTACTTTGCTTATTTTCTGTTGATTAAAAGCAGATTAAAACTTTTATTTATTAATTAGTTCATTTACATCAAAATATTTGTGACTCCTACAATCCAAAGGTGAAATTGCTTCACATGTAAGCTATAATTAAAACATAAAACAATGTTATACTGGTAAGTGGGGTATTTAGAGCGAGGGGGGTTGAAAACAATTCTGGTCGATCTAAAATATGGGTAGACAAAACTTGTTACCTTTTGTTGAAATTTCGCCCCTTCCACCGCATCTCGATAAGATATTAGATATGCACCCGATGTTGCTGATAAATATACACACCATAGAATCTTTGGAATGATCAATTTTACTGTGAATAGATACAAGTCAATAGTAGAGTCAAGTTTTTCATCGTTTGTTCTTTTTTGATAACTTGACTTAACTTTTGAGCTGTGTGGTGTGCGTGTAGGTTGCAGAGAAACTGCAGCACCTGAAGGACATGTTGGAGGAGCTGAGACGTCTGGCGGGTATCCGACGGGAGAACTTGAAGGAGAACAGTGCCCTGCTGCAGTTCACGTGGAAGGCGGATGTTGTTGAGTCGTGGGTGAATGAGAAACAGAGTCTGGTGCAGAGCAATGCAGGTGGCGATGTTGAGGAGGCGAAGGATCTCTCGGCTGTCCAGGACATGCTTCATCGACAGGTAACACGTAAATATAACTGATAAAAAGGTTTCCTACAACTGATCTCTCAATTTTTAACAACTATACCGGTTTGCTGTGCTAGTAACAGCGTGTTACGACAACAGTATTTGTTGGAAATATTTTGAGAGGGAATCAAATAAACCTTCAAAAATTATGTTATCAGGAATTATATAAAATTCTACTATAACAAGGATAGCCGGTTGCTTTGCAAGTAGCACAGAATGTTCTGACAACATTTGAAAATGTAAAATGAATGACAAACAAAAAAAGGAAAATATTTTCCCATTTTTTTCACGAAAGTTTTTAAATTCTCTCGAATTTGAACTCAAACTCTAAGTTTTTAATCAGTTTTTCTTGACACTGGGACAGTTTTTTGAAGTTTCAAAAATGTTTGGAATCACGACTAAAAGGGATTTAACTTGATATCACTCGACCCATTCCTATGAATATTTGTGGTACCTGATTTTGCTTGGAAAGCAAAAAAAAAACAAAAACTTAAACGCACTTGAATACAAAGTTCCTCCCCGTTTTCAATGGTCGGAACAAAAACAATCTACTATGCAACCTTTCGTGAAAAAATCGTAACAAATTTCTTTTATATTGTATAATTCTAAAATATATTTGTTTGCATCTATTTTCCTAGTAGTCATGTTTGATGGAGTTGAACGCGTCATTTATGAGTGTTACAAATGATTTAAGGAAGTTGGAGCTTCGACCTTTACTTTGAACTCTGTGGTGTTTTAGGAGACATTTGAGGCTGGACTGACGGCCTTCCAGGCAGAGGGTATAGTGCCCATTGGAAAGCTAAGAGATACCTTGGTGAATGCTGGACACATCTCCAAGAACGAGATAGACCAGAGATACAAGTCACTCCTCGACAGGCAAGCTAAACTCATCTGCCTAAAAATAACTCTTCAAAGGCTTAGATTGAAGGCTGACATGAAAGATGGTCGTCAGGTTTCACCACATGCATAAACAGCAATCAGAACATTTTTGTACCGCCAAAATTGAACAGCCCTTTCTGATCAGAACTTTAACTTTTGACCAGAACGCAATCAAATCCTTTCTCCGAAATGTTGTAGAAATAATTCTTGAATTTGCTTTTAGGTGGCACGAACTTCAGAAGAGGTCAAATGACAGAAGGGATCTGCTGGACAAGAAGCTGAGACACTTCCAGGCGGTGGAGGACAAGTTCCTCCTCTTCGCCAAGAAGGCCTCCTCTTTCAACTCCTGGTTCGAGAATGCAGAGGAGGATCTCTCAGACCCCGTCAAGTGCAACTCTATCGACGAAATCAAGGCTAGTAATAATAGTAGAGGTTTCAAAATCCAAGAAAATGCTGTGATCTTTTTTAGTACTGGATCAAAGACTGGGCGAACTCGTGATGAAATTCTTGCATAGTCTTTGTCACCGTTGATTTTAAGTAATTGACAAGAAACTAAAATTTCTGTTGATGGTAATGATGAAGTTGTTTTTCTGCGTCTCAAAAATGTCAATCGGTTGTCTGGCATTAAAACATCGATCTGTTTCGCTGGCGGACTAAGTCCCTCAAGAAAAAAATACCCCACTTTTTTGTTCAAAATCCCACGTTTTCGAATTGAACTACTAAGACTTGGGAAGATAACGATAATTGATGGAAGACCTGTTTTGTAGGCATTGGAGCATGCACACAATGTGTTTGTGGACTCCCTGAAACAGGCGGAGGAGGACTTGGAGTCCCTGAGGGTGCTGGATGCGGAGATTAAGGCGGGAGGAGCCACAGTCAACCCCTACACCTGGTTCACCATGCAGGTACAACCATCTAAATTTTTTGAATCTAATTAACAATCTCCCCCTATGGTATCTAATGAAGAATCTCCAGCCCTACAAAAAAATACAGTAAATTCGCACAAGAGCTTGTATTGAGAATTGGAGTTTTGCTGCATTCTGATTGGTCGAAAAATCGACTGTTTTGATCTGCTTAACTATCCCCCTTCATGGTGGGGGAGGAGATAGATTGTTAGGTATATCAAATATATTCATTCTCCATTCAGTTGCATCGAATATGAAGTTAGTGAATAGTTAATTCTATTTGGATTGCATATTCGGACGGAGGCTGCAAAACAGCAAACAGATGAAATTTATCAAGAGCTCTTGGAAGTGGATTTAATCGGTTGATTAGGACTGGGACCTACTTTCGACGAATTAGCACATTGTTCTTTTACATTTCATGAAGTTTTAAGTATGAACATTTTTAATTTTCATTGTATAAACATTTCAACTAGAGATTGATCCAATTTTAAAGACGTATCTATCGTAATTTGCTAAGCATTTGACTTCGAAATTCAAATAAATTCCACATGGGCGGAGTTTTCAATTTTTAAAAATATGATTTTTTTTAGTGAACTATAGTACAATTTCATTAAATTTGCGTTTAGCATTAAATTTCAACTTTTCAGTACAGTTGTGTTATGTAACAAACTGTTTCTCTGCTTGTGATTGTAGGCTCTAGACGAGACGTGGGATAACTTGAAGAAGATAGTTTCTAAGAGGGAGCTGGAGCTGAAGGAGGAACATAGAAAACAAGTCCACAATGACGAACTCAGACAGAAGTTCGCGAGGGAGGCCAACGCATTCCACGACTGGCTCACAGACACCAGAGTCAAGGTACTTTTTAGAACTTTTAAGAACTTCTTAGAACATAAGTATCAGTATACTCAAAATTAATTTTTTTTTTTTGGTTTGTCTAGCGGAGTAAGGGCGTTATATGCCATCGGCTCAAGTATTTTAAAGTTTTTTCCTCTTCATCTGAGAGTAAATAACAAGTATATGAAGAGGTTTAATAATGTTTTTTTTTTCATTTCTGGTCAGAGTGAAACAGTGAAATATGCCAGTTAAATAATTGTACCACGATTATCACCAAAAGATATCTTTGTAATGAGTGACAAAATAATGTGATTCTAATGTCAAATAATTCTAGAAAAATTCCAGATGATCTTGGAATTACTTGGCGGATATGAACTACTCGGAAAAACTTCTCCGTCTTTTGAATTTCTACTTAAAAGATAAACAATGATTGGATGGTACATATTGCTTGTTTACCAGGTGATGGAAGAGACTGGAAGTCTGGAACAGCAATTGGAATCACTCAAGAAGATAACACTAGAAGTGAAGAGCTGGAGGAACAAACTCAAGTCTATCGAGACCATCGGCAACGAAATGGGCATGCACATCATCCTAGACAACCGATACACGGAACACAGTACTGTAGGACTACATCAACAGTGGGACCAGCTGGAACAACTGTGTCAGAGAATGCAACAGAATCTGGAACAGCAGATCCAGGCCAAGGAGACCTCGGGAGTGTCGGAGACCCAGTTGAGAGACTTCTCTTTGATGTTCCGGCATCACGACAAGGAGAGAACTGGGCGGCTGAATCACGCCGACTTCAAGAAATGTCTGAGATCCCTGGGGTACGATCTGCCCATGTTCGAAGAGGGCCAGATTGACAATGAGTTCGAAGCTATCTTGGACATCGTCGATCGAAACAGGTCAGCTCAGAGAGACATTTTTTTAAAATCATAATGCTTCTTACCAAAAAACACTTTTGTTGTCCGCTAGTCATGGATTTATGTTTTTATAATGGGCCCTGTAGAGTTTTCAATTTATCAATTATACTAGATTGATACATCAGACAAAAAGTGATGAAACTTTATTGCAGGAAGCATTGGTTTATGAGGTGATCAGCAAACTAAGAGTTTTGATCTACCTTGGTTCAGCGAAAGGTTTACTGAGGAATCACTTCGAATAAGAAGGACGAATCTCGTTTGATATTTGACCTTGAGTTTATCGGCTGTTTCAGGGATGGTTTCGTCACCCTGCAAGAGTACATGCAGTTCATGATCAGTCGAGAAACTGAGAATGTGCAGTCAAAGGGAGACATCGAAGAGGCCTTCCGAACTCTCTCCCCTGATGGCAACATGTACATCACCCAGATCGAGATCACCCAGGCACTGGACAAAGAGACGGCAGATTTCTGTATCGCTAACATGAAGGCATACATCGACATGAATAACATTGAGATGCCAGGTACGTATGACTACGTGGAGTTCTGCAACCGACTCTTCCAGAAGTAGAAACTTCCCTAGCGGAACAATCACAACAAACAAAGCGATAATAATGATTATGGAATGCATGCAAAAACAGCAAACTCATCGAACAAAATCAAGCGTGAATGAGCAACGAACGAACTCAAACATAAAGACTTGAACTTATTTTAATTTGAAAGAGCAACTTCAAAAATGAAGATTTACACAAGCATGTCCGAGAAATTTAAAAACAACTCAAAGAAAAACCAAAACTTAATAAAAAATGAAACTTCAAAATACAGCTCTTGGCGTATAAATGGGTTTTTATTGTTATACCTGCTTCGATTCTGTTTTTCTTCTAGATTGCTGAATTGAAATCTTTCTTGTACACAAAAATGGACTTGCGATGCATGATTTGATTGATTTGGAAGAGCTAAAAAAAGAGAAAGGAGAGTTTTTACTTTCATTTTAAGGGTTGAGTTAAATTAAGTGATGGAATGGGTTGATGATGCTCGTGAATCTAAATGAAAATGTGTTTAGTTTTACCATAAAACTTTTAAAAATCTTTCATGAATTTTCAGTTGGCAGCGGTGATTTAAGATAATTTTAATTCGATGTGTTGTTGTTTGGACTAATTATTAGTGAAGTGAAATCATAATCGTGTAAGATGGCCTCAAGGTTAAGCATTGAAATTGCGAAATACTCCTTAGATTGAAGGTACTATGTTTTATACTACTCAGACCGACTGACTGACTTGCGAACTGACTCAACCTCCAGAACTTTCAAAATAAATGTTGATGTTAACTGACTGTTACTCACTCAAATTCATAAGCATGTGCTGTTAGCGCTATTAAATAATTAAATTTAATTCATAATTTCATTATCGTGGGAGCAGTGAATATGTTAACTGATTTTGTACACGAAAAAATTGATATCGATACTTCGAAAATTTGCATTTTTAATGTAATAACTGACTGATAAACCGACCCTGGGACAATTCAAGACTGACTCCTTAAATTTTTACCTAAATCAAAAGTTAAATAAAATCAAAAATGTTTTCGATTATCCATGCAAAATGAACGATTGTTTGTCTGGTTGGATTAATTTCAGAAAACCACGAATACAAAAAACTGATAGATTTTTGCCAATTGAAAAGAGTGTAATTTGTTTTGCGAAATCCGGTTACAAATTTTTTCTCCGTGTTTTTTTTTATTTCATTGTTCCGACCATTGAAAATGGGGCGGAACTTTGTATTCAGGTGTGTTTCTTCCTATGCAAAATCAGGTATGACAAATAATCATCGGACTGGGTTGAGTAATGTATCTTACTGGAGCCCTTTGTTTTGATTTGAACGACATGTAAAAAGTTCCAAAAAGTCAGTATCGAGAAAATCCGGTTTGAAATTTTTTGATTTTTTCGTCTAATTTCGAGCGAGTAACGCAATCGAACAGGCTTTCATCAGCTTATTTTAATAACTTTATAGCTTACAATAGCTTAATTTAAGCCGTGAAAATTTATAACGAGAAAAAAAAAGTTTATTGCGTCTTTTTCTAATCAAAAACCCTAAAAGTTTGAAAACTGATTTTGAAGTTTTTTTCATTTTTGTTTTTCTAGTCAATTTTCTACGAAAGATAATGACTTATTTGCTTATAAGTCTTTTATAATTTGAAAAAAGTAATGTACGGAAATCAATGCAGAGTTTTGATTATTATTAGTACCTTCGGGGAATCTAAACTTTTAACTACTTGAACAATTTGTTTTAACTATGCTTGCGATAAGTAAGTAATAAAAATTCGTATTTTTGAAATTTTTTGAGGTAGTAACTTGTTGAACAAACAAGCACTTGAGTCATTTGATAGCTTGATTTGAGCTAAATTCAAATTTCTTCACTTTTTTGGCGCACCTGGCCCATAGGTAACGATTAAGCCTGGGACTCTAAAGGGCATACGTTACAGTCTGGCTAGAACTTGTTTTATTTTTCAGATGGAAAATGATCAATTTCAAAAAACTCGACTTATTGTTTCTCTGATTTTTTGTTTTAATTGTCGCATCATGTAATTTTTAATAGCCTAAAAGTTGCAATTGACCTGAATGATTTTGAAATTTTTTATTGGCAAATTGAATTATTTTACGTTACTTGACAATAAACAAATTTACTTCCAATCTAATTTTTTTTCAAATATAATCCTCACCCCTTCAGAAACAAACAAAAAAATCTTCCTTTTTTCAAAAAACAAGGCAGTCCTTTCTTCTGTTTTCTGGCAAGTTGCAAATAAATTTATCAACTCCTGTAAATTGTTTGAGAACAATAATTTCATAGTTGTCTTTGGTAATATTCTAATGACTTAATAACCTTATTTGGCAGGATATTTCGAAATTGCAGAGTTTTTTTTAGATTGACAAAAGCTTTTGTGCTCAGCAGAGTATACAAAATAATTGTCCGCTCATTTGCTGCTCAATAATTGTCTTAGCATGATGATTTTAGCGGAGATCATTTTGTTGGATATAATTTCCTCGAATTGAACCTCATTCAAGCCAAAGACTGAATTGTGTTTTTTGTCGAATTAGAGGCTTTCGTTTTTTTTTTTGGTTCCTTGCTTGCAATGCTAATTTTGTATGGTATCGCAATTGGTGCAGAGCTCTCTTTTGAAAAAAGCTGCGTGCTATTTTGCGACATCGAATTGCGGTTGTAAGATCAAATTTCGCACACTATTTTGTAAGCTTTTACAATTCCGCGAATAATTGATAAATAGTTTTATTCGATGTTTCTGCTGTTGTAACGGTTTCTGCTTCAAGATGCTTGTTTTAATTGTTCTGCCGAAAAGATTACTCAATCAGTTGCATTTTGAAAGCCTTCAAACTTAAATGAAGTGTACTAATACTCTAATAAAACTATATTCTACTATATTGTACTATATTCTTACTTTTCGACCTAATTTTAAGCTTAGTTTTATTAAAGTAAGAATATAGTTCATTCAAAATGTCTGTTGATGCTAACTAAAACGCAATAAAACTGAACTCGCTCACTCCGATTGAGATTGGTATGCAGTAGTCAAGGTCATAGAAGACTTGTTAAATTAAGTAATAAAAAAAACGATTAAACAATCATAAGATTTCCCCCAACTTGGAAAGTTGTCAAGACTAGGAATTATAAAACTCTAATGATCGTTTTCTCCCTCTGGCTAAAGCAAAGAATGTAAAAGAAATGAAAAAAAAAGCTTATATCAGTTTAAATCAGAACTAATTCAAATAATGAGATACAATTTTTTTTGCACAGAAGAGTTAAGTGAAAATGGAACTAAGATAAAATTGAGAAATGAAAATTTTTCCAACGGAGTTTGCTAATCGGGGAAATATAGAAAATTACTTAAGTTTCAATTTGTACGTGATGATTATTCCCAAAGTCCGGAATGATATGAAGAAAAATAAGATAATGAAAGCGCCCTAATTTGGGTGAAGTTGATAACGTTCGATAGGTTTACCACTATTTGACGTTTTTAAATCAGATGGATTTGGGTAACGGATATGAATGATTGGAACTTAGCGGTTTGAGTGTTTTACCATCGAAAAGCCTTGAATGAAATTTAGTGTAATGCAAGAAAATGGGCTGAGGGTATAAAATGGTTAGCGCTGAGTTGATGGATTTTGAGAAAACACTTTTAAAATTTTTTGTTTTGTGCTTCCGGAAGGACTTCTTCAGGTATGAGACCTGTCTGATCAGATTTGAAAGTATGTCAAAGTCATCGCTTTCTATGATTGATAGCAGTAGTGAAGTTAAGGGCTCCTGCACTTTTTTTTTGGTCTAGGTTCTAGTTTCTGGGATGACTTCCTTTGAAGCATCCGTTAAGACTATGAAGTTGAGCTGATCGTCAGAAGTTTTCTCCCACAAGTTTTCTCCTTTTTGGCTGTGTTGTCGCTTAATGTGCCTGCGCTAAAATTGATGGATTTCTCTGCTCTATCCATGTCCTGTTCTGGTTGTTGGCCTACAACATCTACAAAAAACTTTCACCATAGAATTTTTGAGGTCCAACATTTCGTCCACGTCTAGTAGAAGTGCGACTCTAACGCTAGGGTGATCCAGTAATTTCAAAAACAGGGATGTCGGCGGCAGAAGAATAATCGTCTAATGCGTAGACTGGATAAATTTAAGCACTCGTATCGGCAAAAGGGATCTGCTCTGGTGGAGTGTCAAAAAAGTCAAAGGCAGATGGAAGCTGAGTTGTATCCGGAGATCCTACTACAGTCCGGTTTTATAGTGTGCTCAGGATTGATGCTGATTGGGCATTCCGTCGAGTGTCCAGGTATGACCCAATCTAAGTCCACACTTTTTAGCTAAATTGGTTATCCGGTGGAGTTGGTGTTGTGCTGATGGTTTTAAATCGAAATGTCGTAGTCACTAATAAACCTTTCTCTGCCCACTTCCCTGCACGGAAAATTGCGGCTAGTCTCATCTCAATTACTTTAGTATGATATATCAAATGATTTTAAAAAAATTGCTTTCAGATAGGTAACTTGGAGAGAAATTCCTCCTTTTGCATTTTTCCAGTTTCACTTTCCTCTTCGATTTTGGTTTGCTGAACCTCCTCGATTGTCGGGTTGTCAATTTCTTGCTGGACCTCATCGATTGTGAACTTCTTTTTGGATCTTTGGTCCAATTCTTTTCTTCCTTTTCTCTACTTTATACGAATGCTTAAAATCAGGAATGGTAATAACGCTTTAAAAAACTTGAAGATTTTAGAAGAGTTGTCGCGTATCGCTAGGTCAACTTTGGGTAGGCTTTTTCCACTGGCTAGTTCCACCGAAGTATATCAGGATCGAATAATTTTCTTGCCCAAGGGTCGTAAAAGGGTTCTCTGTTCCTTCGGTTAGAAACCTTCCGAACAATATTACCTTTCTTGACTGGGATAAATGATGATGGGCTTGGGTCGAAGTCTTATCCCTTTTCTTGGATTGTATGTTTTTGTTGTCCAGTGGAGTGTCTAAGTATCCATCTTTCACTCTTTTGTCCACCCTATCTTTTAACATGATTTCAATGGAAGTTTTCAGTGTTTCTGGAGACATTGCTTGTAATTTTGACTGAATCTTATGTATTTTTCACTAATCAGTTGCAACGGTCATGTTAACTGTACGAAAAAAATGACAATAAAATCTTTGAAATTGCAAAAATAATGAAAATTGGCCGAGTAGAACACGAATCGTAATCGACTCTAATTGAATTTGGAATACCATGTAAATGAAAATAATCGGTAAAAAAATAAATAATTGTTTTTGCAGAAGTACATAAAGAGTTTCTAAAAAGGACTTTGAATATCTGTCTATACATAAAAAAATATACTGACAAGAGACCCAGTATGAATCCAAACAACCTGGAACGTCCAGATCATATTATTTGTTTACAAATTTCAATTACGGGCGGTGGTGGGTAAGCTTTGCAGATCAAAATGGTGCAAGATTTTACCTGCTTTATTGCAGTCAGAGCAGTTCTTCCCATAAAAAAAGATTTTTCTACTTATGTGTGGCCACTAAACGTTTGCCGAAAAGAATTTTATTCCAAAACATATTTTGTAGAGAAAACATATTGTTCAGTAGACTATTTGACGTGTCCAGATCACTGTAATGTTTTTCAGTGAGTAAAGTGATCATCTTATTGTTGAAGTAATTATTTGATTCAAAGGGTCTTTCAGGCAATTTCAGAGATCCGCGGAATTTTTTTATTGCTAGGGTAGATTATTTGGAAGACAAATTTTCACGAGCAATATAGGCGATGATATTGGTTGAAGAGGGAGTACTAAAAATTGCAGCGTTTACGTTCTAAATATTTACATTTGATATTCCCCTGGAGATTTTAAAAAATTTGAATGTACAGATAAAAAAAACAAATAATTAACTTTCAGATTGATCTAATTGAATTAAATTTACAGTTAAACTTAAAATAAGCCAACGAAAATATCTAGAGGTACAAAATTCAGAGCACTGGTTAAAATTGCGCGTTCTTTCATTGGAATTAACTAAATTTA